GTATGATGTTTTATTCAGGAAGCATTTAACTATAAAGTGGTTGACTGACTCATGTTCTTGGTGCACTGATTTGAAAGCCTGGAGGTTAGGGAGTGCGGGTGGAAATGGGGAACGATTTAGTGGCCCAGCACCATAGTGTCGTCACCAGCCTCAGCTGACCTGTGTCCCTGACCACCTCCCCATCCACCACTGCCACCACCACTGACCATGATAGTTTGGAGCCTCATTGATTCCACACGCATCATCCCATTTGATTTTTACAGCTGCTGTATGATGTTAGTATGTCCATTTTAAACAAGGAAACTGGGCGTTCATGTGCCCAGGATTAACGCCAGTGAGGAATATAGCTAGAATCCCACATCTTCTCAACGCGTTGGCTGCTTTTACTTTTTTATTACAGCATGGTGCATAAGGGGGAACAAATCTATAAATGATCAGCATCCCAGGGAAGGCTTATTTTAGTATAGCAGTGAGAGTTTTGAAATACTTGACACATTTACAAACCACTGCACTGTGGAGACCGGCTGAGTGGGTGGTCTCATGTTGGTTGATTCGCAGATGCTCTTCATGTATACTTTCATCAAAGAGGAGGGTAGCTTAGTGCTGCCTCGTATTTTTAGGTTTGATCGACATCGTGAAATTACCCTCCAAAAAGGGCTTACCCACCTACCAAAAGTCTGTTCAGTTTTGCAAACGAAATAGCCAGTATCGATGCCACACACAGGGACGCTTGTGCGGTTCGGCCACTTTGTAATCTCTTGACAGCAGAGGAAACCTACCCCTGTGCCCTTGGCACAGCCTACATACAGACCCGCTCCTATCGTTTGCCGGGCCCAGGCACAAGAGTGCAAGCGATATTGGGCCTGAGCCAGCACTAGGGTGAAGCAGGTGAGGCAACATAAAAAGACGAGATCAATAAAGTGCTGTGCTAAAGCCATGTTGGAGCTTAAGAAAAAGGAGAAATCAGTAAGACTGATCCCATCTTTATTAAAAGTTTTGGTATTTTGTTCATTATGGACTTTGCATGAATTCTTATTTTTTAACATATTGCATTACATTGTTATTTATCTTGCTTACTGAGTTTTTGGTGCCCCTTAAATTCTGCTCCTATGACAGTGTCTCCCCGCAGGGTGTCGCGCCCTAGCCTCCATCATGCCTGGGGCCTGGGGGTGAGCAGTGGGGGCATCATCCACCCTTGCTGCAGGCCCCTGTAGTGGGCCCGGGGCTGTCAGGGCAGGGAATTCCAGGCTCTTGGCTGTGTGAGGTTGTGCTGTGGGTGACAGGTAGGTGCATGTCCTTAGGTCCCCGGTTTCCTTCCCCGAGGAGGGGAGAGGAGAGGAGAGTGGCTGGAGGAGGGCCAAAGGAACCCTCTGGAGAGTAGTTCTCAGCCTCAGTGTCTCCTGGAGGGCTTATGAAGGTGTAGATCGCTCAGATTCTGATTCAGCAGGTCTGAGGGGGGGCCCCATAGTCTCCATTTCTAATGAATTCCTCCATGCTGCTGCCGCTGGTAGACAAGGAGCACACTTGGAGGACCCCTGCTTTAGAGCAGGGGGTCCAGGGTAGGGGCCCCTTACCTGGGTCTAAGGAGGTATTTGGCGTGCATGGGAATTTGGAGGGGCTCAGCATTCTTTACCAGACTTGTCTTCAGATTTTTTTTTGTCTAGCTGCATATCCATAATGTACCCTTCAAGGGGAAAGACTGCATTCTTTCCTACTTTTCTGGCCAGTCTGCTATTTGTCACTGTTATTAATGGAGATTTCCCCAGGATGCTGGACACTGCTTTAGAGTGAATCATTGCTATAGATTTTTTTTCCCGTAGATTGCTTGCATGATGTATGGAAATGAGAGCTACAGTATCTGATGTTAAGTAGTATTCTTAAGTAGCCCTAGGTTTTGTTTTTTAAGTTTGTGCTTTATTTATTTTTAAAATTTTATTTATTTATTTATTTACTTGAGAGAGCGAATGCGCCCCCACGCACGTGCACCAGCAGCGGGAGGAGCAGAGGGAGAGGGATGAGCAGACTCTGTGCTGAGCTGGCCCCACGCAGGGCTTAATCTCAGGAGCCTGAGATCATGACCTGAGTTGGATGCTTAACCAACTGAGCTACCCAGGTGCCTCAAGAGTTTGTGTTCTAAAATAACACATTATTTTTAAAAATACATAAAACACTTTTAAGTAATGTTTTTACATATAAATAAGAAACTTAAAATGTCTCATAAACCCTCCACCCAGTGACCCCTGTGGATGGAAATAGTACTGCAAATACAAAATAAAAACCACCTTTCCATCCTTCTCTCTAGGCTCTAGCCTTCTCCAATAGGCATGTTTTTGTGATTTCTTTCAGAAAAAAATTTTATTCTCAAAGAGATTATCTATCTTTCTAATTATTTTTATCCAAGACTATCATAAACACTGTTAGACACCTTGCCTCTTAACTTAGTAATTTATCTTGGATACATTTCCATCAGCACATAACAGGTTTATCTTAATCTTGTTAAATGGCCCATAGAATTCATCACTGGGTGTCCCAGAGTTTAGCTAGCCAGCCCTCCAGTGAAGAACTATTTGGTTCCAGGTTTTTGCTATATGAACAGCCCTGTAGTGAGTATCTTTGTCTGTATATCTTGAAAAACATCTATGAGTCCAGCCATAGGCATGACATCCAGTGGCGGGGTTGTTGGACAAGGGGTGTGTGTACTTTTAGGTTTGAAGGCAAACATCATATTGCCCTTCCAGAGAAGTTCACCCCCTCAGCCATGAAGAGCATGCCTGTTTCCCCAACATTCTTGCCTGCAATGGGTAGCATAGAAGTAAAAAGAAAACAAAATCTATTATTCCAATAGCAGTAAAAATAAATAGGAATAAAATTGATAAGGTACAATATCTATGTGAAGAAAACTTTAATATGTGCCTGAGGGACCCCAAAGAAGTCTGGAATAAACAAAAATTATGCCTTATATTTGGACAGGAACTTGTGGCATGATGAAAATAGCATTTCACCCTCAGTTAAGCTATAATTTGAACACAATTCAATAATATCAATGAGATTATTTTTAGAAGGAGGGTTTGATGAACTGGTTTGAAAGACCACTTGGAAAAAAAATAAGAATAGACAGGAAGATTCAGAAACTAAACAAGAAGATAGGAAGTTTCAGGAAATAGCCTGACCAGATATTAAAACATAACACTAAAATTGTTAATACAGATTAATGGATCACAATCATAAACTTAAATATATTCAGGAATATAATAGATTATAAAATTGGTATCTCAAATTAATGAGGGAAAGGGGGTGGAATGTTGAATTCATATTGCATAGATTCCAAATTGGATCAAAGACTCATATCCAAAAAATGAAATATGTAATAACAGGAGAATTGTTTTATAATCCCAAATCTCTCTGCTATGACACAATACTCAGAAGTCATTGAAGACAAGATTGAGAAATTCAGCTTCATAAAAAAAAAATTCTTCATGATAAAACCCACCTTATGCAAAGTCAAAAGATAATAAATTGGGGAAAGATACTGCAATTTCCTAAAGAACTAAATTTCCTAATATATAAAGAGTTTCTACAAACCAATAGAAAAAAGGACCAATAACCCAATAGAAAACTAGGCAAAGATTATGAACAGTTAATAGAAAAGGTGACACAGATAGTATTTAAACATGAAGTGTTCAATAAGAAAAAATACAAGTTACATAGTAAGAGAAATACAAATCACCCCTGTAGGAATCATTTTTTCACTATGAGATTAGCCAGGGCATGGAAAAAGGAATACCTTTATACATCACTGATAGGAGGTAAATCCCTGCTACTCTGTGGAAGAAATCTGGCCATATCTGAAAAAATTACAATGCTTTTATCTTTGGCCCAGCACATTCCTAGGTATGGAATTCCTAGGTATGATGTACTGTATGTGAAATTATGTAGGCACGATATTTTTCATCAGCATTACTTATAAAAGCAAAAGTTTGAATAATCTATGGTACATCATAAACTGGAACACTGTGTGTCTGTCAGAAGAATGAGAAAAAGCTCTGTGTGGTGCTGTTGAATGGTTCCTAAGAAAACTATACTGTGAATTGATGAAAATTAGCAAAAAGCCATATGTGTACCACTGTGCTACCATTTATATAAAAAGGGAGGGAGATATATGGACATTTTTTACTTGTATATGAATTCAGCAGTTGTCAATGTGTATACAAAAAGTGGATAATACTGATTGCCTCTAGGGAAAAAGTCTGAAGGGGGATAGGGCTGGGATGTACACTTTTAACTGTGTATTTGCTTACACCTTTTGATTTTTGATTCTTGTCTATCCTTCTCAAAAAATTGTTTTAAATCCAAATCTAAAACAATTCAGTAGGTGAAAAATATGTGTTTTGCATAGTTCTAATGTGGAGTTAATTTGGGTGTTTTTTCGGATATTGACTAGCTTTTTGTGTTTTTTTAGGCAATCGTCTCTCAGTATATTTTGTCTTTCTCTCTCTTCCCTTCCTTCCCTCCCTCCCTTGCCGTCCCCTCCCCTTTCCTTCCTCTCTCTCTCTTCCAGTGATTTTTTTGCGAATTAAGGAAATTACCCCTTTGTCTTAAGTGTCACAGAAATTTTGTTCCAGTTTGTCTTCTGAAGTTGTCATTGCTGTTTTGCCACCTGGGAATGTTATATTTGCATGCAGTTGTCATTTTTTCCTCCTCCTCCTTCTTTTCTTTCTTTTTTTATTTTTGAGGGGGTGGAAATTACTTTTCCAGTGTGATCTCTGAGAAGATTGACTCTAGGTTTAAAATATCCAATTAGCAACACCTTTGGATGAGTTGGAAAATAATCTGCTGTTTTTTTAAGTTCTCTTTGATGACAGTAGTTAAGACAGGAGTAAACTCATCCTTAGTAAGAAGTGACCCAGAGGTCTGCAAGGGCAAGGGGAGAGAGACTTGGATGGGGAAGGGTGGGCCTTTTTGTTGCATCCCTGATAAACCTCTCCTCTCTCCACCTCCAGCTGAGCTCCCGAGATCCTCGGCGGTGAGGCTGGCCTCCCTGCACGACCTGCCCGCCCAGCTCCTGGAGCTGTACCAGCAGGGCTTCGCACTGGTGGCCCTGCACCCGTTCGTGCAGCCGACCCATGAGCGGGAGAAGACACCCCTCGAGCACATCTTCAGGGCCATCCTGATCAAGAAAACTGACAGGTAAGTCCTCTGAGATGAACCGTTAGCTTCGCATTACGAGGTGGCTGATGCGTGTTGAATGGAGGAGGGGAAGTGAGAAGACTGGGGGTAGAGAATATATTTGAAATTGTCATGGTGTCCCCAGGGCCTCTGCCCTCTGACAGGTAAGGCAAAGTGATAGACAACCAGAGAGAAGTTTCACAGTGTCCTGCGAACTGTCCGCACCCAACTGCATGAGTAGAGAGTTCCATATTATATCCTGACCCTCTTTTAATTTACTGGATTACACTCAATTAGAAAGATGCCTCCTCTGAAGAGGTGTACTCCTAGAATATGCAGCTGGTGAAAGTGTCATACTGTTAATCTGAAATGCATGGCTACAAAACACGCTATTTTTTTTTGAAGGCTATATACAAACTTATTATCTTCCTCCAAACTCCAGAAGTACTTGGATATTTTAAACTTACCGTATGTTCTGTCAGTCACTTGGGAGGAGAAATAAAATCCACTTGAATCAAGTGCTGTGATTGATTTGTCTTCATTTTAATTTTCAGGGCTTTGAGGATCTTTCCAGTATGGCTTGTCCAGTTGAATGCTTATTCTTATATTTTTTATTGGGTCTAATTAGGAAAAGAGAGGTGGAGGTTGGTTTCGCAAAAGAAGTAGTATTAATTTTAAGTGATTTAAAAAACAACAACAACAACGAAGGTGGGATAGTAAGCACGATATGTTTTTGTGTTTTATTTTGAAATAAACTCTGGCAAAAAAATCAGATCTGTCCTTCGGCCAACCATCATGGGAGGAATGACAACTTCCGCTGTAGTTTAAAAAGAGAGAGTGCAGAGTGACTGCTTCTCTTTCTCTCTTTTTAAAAGCTACTTTGCCTGATAGACAGACATCTGGCTCGTGAGCTCACAGGGACACCTGGGTGACTAAGACGGGCTCCTCCTCTCTGGCCAGTAGGGTTCATTTCTTCATGGCTGATCAAGCTCTGGGCTCTCAGTCCGAGTCAGCCTGCATTGGAATTTGAAGTGAAAGATGGCGGACATCTTTGCTAACGTCCAGAATTACCATGGTTTTTGTAGAGTGAAACTTTTCTCAAGTCTGTCTTTTTTGAATATTCATTTCTTGATGTGGATTTGCTATATCCAGGTCAATCACCAGAGGAAATTACTGTGGGAGCCACAGTGATTTTAGATTTTATACTGACACACATGGTATGCGTGATTATCATAGGTCACCCGTATGGAGTGCTTACCGTACGCTGGGCTTTCCAGGTATCATTTCATTCTCATAAGCAGCCTTTGAAAGAGGTACTCTTTTTATTTCCATTTTAAAGGTAAGGAAGCTGAGGCCCAGATGTTGACTTGTTTGTCAAGGTCACACAAATGGCAGCAAGCAGAGCTCTGACTGGTCCCAGGCAGGCTGACTCCCATCTGAACCCTGATGTGAAATACTTCCTGTGTTCTTACCCCATGATTCTGTGGACAACCCTTTATGAAAAAAGCGGGGAAGATATCTTTGGTTTTCAGATGAGGTAGTAATTTCATTATTCCACTTTCCTCCATATTACCACTCAGTAGTCTCAAGTAAGTCAGAATTTCAGAAAAGAAACAAAATAAAACCAACCTGCCATGTACCTTCCATGTACCTTATGCAAGGCATTCACTGGACATCAGTGTTTCTGCTTCTTTCATCATTTCATTGGACTTGATGTTTGGGGGGGGTCCACTTTGGTCACAAGAGTATCCCTCAGTGTAATTCTACTGCAGGTGATGTTAGGATGGGATTTGCCATGAAGTCAGCACGTCATAAATGAATTTGACTCTAAATGTGAAGATGTGTTTTTTTTTTTTTGCTAGGGAGTAGCACCTCTCAGACTTTGATTCGCCTCCTATGCATCTCCTGGAGATGTTGTTCAAGTGCAGTCTGATTCAGCAGGTCTGTGGTTGGGCCTGGGACTCCGCACTTCAGCACATTCCTAGATGATAGCAATGCTGCTGGTCCATGGATCACACTTAGAGTAGCAAGGGTGAGAGGACCTGACTAATTATCCGGCTCCATGCCTGACACTCACCAGCATTACTGGGGATCGCCCCTTCCCTGCTAGGGAGAGTTTTGAATACTGATAAAGGTGAGAAGGAACAGAGGGCTCCTGGCTGGAGGGCCTGTGTTCTGTGCTGCACCAGGCTGCGAGGGAGTGCTGCAGTGTTAGGGGCACATTAGTAGATTTTTCTGGTACTAAATGATTTGCAAGGCCTGAACTAATTCTCAATGATCTGATCAGATGAGGTGGGTGAGAAATCTCCTCTTAATAAGAACTGTCACTTTTGGGACTAGTCCATAACCAGCTAGCAGTGGAGCTGAAGTGTTCAATAGCGTTTTTTTTTTTTTTTTTTTTTTTTCACTTCCACTGAGGACAGTCCCTGAGTTAATGAACTTACTTTCCAGGAAAGGAAAAGGGGTCAAGCCATTAAGAAGAATGAGACATGAGTGTGCAGGAGGATTTTCAAGAAAGAGAAGATGGCATTCTCCTTGGGTTTAAGTTCACTCTAGTCTATAGTGCCTGGGGTCTACATTACTGCTGGATGGCTTAAAGGAACATTCCAGATTCTTAGTAAGCAGATTCAGAGAAAGAAATCCCTTGGATAACTTTGTGCCAAATCTTTGAAGCTGCTCTCACCCCCCACCCTGTTGCGTTTTTTTTTAAGGAAATTGCTAAAGCTTGTTAATTTGTCGTGGTAATGAGAATGGTGGTTTACCATTCTCATGGCAAAAATGACCAAGAGATTTTCCCCCACTTCCATTCCCCATTAGCACTGGGTGACAGGAGTGGTGGTGGGAAGCAGAGTCATTATACAATATCATTTTAAGGGACAGGCATTTTCTCTCCTAGCAAATGTAGTAACGTGTTTTTGCATCCTGAGGAAAAGACCTCACACTATTAAAGGTAAATAAACAAAAAACAACAGAGCTTTTTTTGTATCGGTAGGGGAGTTTATGTAGTAGAAACGAAACAAGGGAAATATGTGATTAATTTTTAATAAAGATTGTTAAAATGATATTTTTCACAAAGTCTGCCAAAGTTCTGACAGCTGTAGATGCTGTTAAATGAAATGATTTAGCTCTCAAAGAGGAAGTCAATGCCTGGTTAATATTTTCTAACTGGACACTTTTTAGAGTACTATCAGTCCAAATCAAGTTCATTCACAAGAATTACCATGGGATGACAACTTGAAACTTAGATATGAACCTTAATATGTTTGAAAGGTAAACATAAAGTTTTTAGCAAATAACTGGCCTTTGGGATCTGTAGCAAGACCAGGAAAAAGAAGAGAACCATACGAGCTTGCATTCACTCCCTCACTCATTACTTTGCAAACACTTAACTGAATTCTACTCTTTTAAGGTATTTTGCTAGGACCTCTACTTGGCGGGGAGGTGGAGGGTGCAAGGTTCAACTGGACAATGGAACTTGCCTCCTAGATACCTGTGATTTAACTGAGAAAATAAGGCATGCACCTTATGCCATGGGAAAAGGAGAGGTCACCTCCCCATGGAAAGGAAACAAAGGAAATGTTTCTGGAGGAAGGAGCTTTTAACTCGGTCCTGATTTCTTTGGGGGCAAAAATAGGAGTAAAGTGCATGAGGCAGGAAGAGTTTATTTAAGTCTAAAATGCAGTGTCTCCTGGTGGAGTTTGGATCATTTGAGAGCACCATGGACAGTCGGACTGGTTTATTAATGAGTCACCCCAAAAGCTCTGTGCAATAACATTCCTGTGAGCCCTGTATCATTTTGATGAACTTTACTTAAATCCATGAAAAATTACCTGATCCTTTTTCTCAAAAAATCTGATAACTGTCATTTCATTTTAAGATGTCAGGCCAACCCACACTCCTCAGTACAAATTGTTCTTGATCCTAGGTGTGTTGAATTTACTTGAAAACTGACTGAGGAATGAATAGCTGCATTTGAAATATTTAATGAATAAGTAGGAAGAGAGCTTGTACTTAGCGATTTTTAACAGACAGTATAGTTAGTGCTGTTTCAATTACTCTGAAGTCTAGGTACAGTTAAGTTGTCCTTCATGTTTTTCGGGCAGTTTTCCTTAGAATGAGTTGCCAAAGATCTCAAAACTTGATGGCTAAGAGAAAGCACTTATTAGCATGTTACTTCTGCTCTTTCGTGAGTGTGGATTTAATTCTAGGCCGTTTTATGGTTGTAGGCATGAATACAAAAACGCACTGTGCCGCTCCATTTTTCAGCAGTTGTGTTGCCATTGTTCACACGTAGAGCTGGTTCAGGGTGTCTATGATGTGTTTTTCATAACTAATGGGTTGAAGGTCCCCTGGGATGTCACCTTATATGGTACAGGGGACCACAACATCTGTGAACCCTGTGGACATTCATCAGGTGCCCTTTGACCTTGGGTGAGGGGGTGGGGCTCACAGAGGAGCTGCTGCTGATGCAAGGGGTGGGATGCGGAAACCCTTGTGGAAGGTGGAAAATGCATATAATGAAAACTGCTCTTGAAAATCTCTTTACTTGCCCGTGAAATGTAATACTGGAGCATTTCTCTCCCTGACCGATGCATGTTTTCCTTCAGGACGAGATCAGATTGGTGTTTCCAGCAATGAACCCCGTGGGAAAGTAAGCTGGTTTGGTTTAGAGTGAGTGTTCCTTAGAATCGCACCTCAGGGGGTGAGGTATTGCACGTGGATAGGCGTTGGTGGGAACCGAGTTGGAGGGAACAGGATATCCTCGCCTCCTGCCTCACGTCCATTCTGGGACACATCTCCCTGTTGGCTAGAACAACTGGCTCTGTTTTAAGTGGCAAACGGTCCTCTCTTTCAGTGAGATTTGTCTGAGATAAACGTGTGTGGTGTAGCTTCACTATGCAAAGATGACTCTAAAGAGCTCTCAGCTCTCAAGAAACTCATCTAATGGGGAAGGGGGGAGCAGTTGTCAAATATATATGATGTAAATGATGTGAATGCCCAGCTAAATCTATAGGTCTTGG